CCGGTCCGCCCCGCCCCGCCCCGCGGGCCGCCTCTCTCCGCGGCCAGCCTGGAGCACAGCCCACCGGGCTCTTCCGCCAGCAAACGAGGGCCGAGCAGACATCGTCCGCGTTCACGCAGCCTGCTCTGCCCACCGGCGCCCCCTGCTGGCTGGAGGCTGAACAGCACGTCGCGACAGACAATTTGCCGACAGGGCACGGGCCACCAAGGAGCAAATGAGGCCTCCCGAAACCCCACCACCCTCGCAGCAAGAGGTCAGCCCGCACCCTCACCACATCACGATCACAGCCAACACCGGGGAAAGCCTATACACACGAGCCACCTACATCAAAGGAACTCATACAGATTCGCTACCATAGTGCATCCAGTTGAGGAAAAAAGCCTGAGAAACAACACTGAAAGTATTTAAAAAAAGGTGTTACCTCTCCAAAAGGGCTCACCAATTCTTCAACAACAGTACCTAACCACAATGAAATCCCTAAAATTTCAGATAACGAATCCAGAATATTGATGATAAAGGAGCGCAATCAGATGCAAGATTAAACTGATAACCAACACAAAGAAATCAGCAGAACAATGCAGGAGGGTGAGAGTTTGACAACTTTGATCAGAACAAAACTTAATGACATTGAGACGGAAAAAAAATACAAAGGATCAATCAACCAAAAAGTTGTTTTCTGAAAGGATAAACGAAACTGACAGACTGCTAGGAAGACTAACCAAGAAAGGAGAGCAAACTCAAATAAATTTAATCAGAAATGACAGAGGTGACACAACAACCAATACCACAGAAATCAAAAAGATTATCAGGGTAACCCTCTTTGGGGACCCCTCCTGCTGCCAGGGGCTTTCCGATCTAATAAATTCCTACTTAAAAAATAAAAAAATAAAAAAGATAATCAGTGACTAGTATGAATACCTCTATGAAAACAAACTGAAAAATCCAGAGAAAATGGATAAATTCCTGGAAACATACAACCGCCCAAGACTGAAACAGGAAGAAATATGTACTCTAAATAGACAAATAATGAGCAATGAAATTGAATCAGTAATAAAAAAAATCTCCCAACAAAAAAAGTCCAGGGCCAGACAGATTCACAGTCAAATTTTATCAGACATACAAAGAAGAGCTGGAATCAATTCTACTGAAATTATTCCATAAAATTCAGGAGAAGGGACTCTTCCCTAACTAATTCTAAGAAATCAGTATCACACCAACACCAAAATAAGGCAAGGACACAACAAAAAAGAAAACTACAGGCCTTGTTCCCTGATGAATATAGATGCTAAAATTCTTTTTTGTTGTTGTTGGGATTCTTGTCTTGTGCCCAAGAAGAACGAGGGACACAGACAGCCAGAAAGTGAAAAAGCATGATGTAGTAAGAGGGCAGAAAAGCTCCCACAGCAGGAGGGGATATGAGGGGGTTGCCCAATACTAAAATTCTTAACAAAATACTAGCAAACCAAAACAACTATTTGCTACAACTAAGTGGGTTTTATTCCAGGGATGCACGGATGGTTCAATATCTGCAAATCAATAAACATAGTCCGTCACATAAATAAAAGCAATTAATAAAAGCCATGTGATCATTTCAATAGATACAGAGAAGGTATTCAACAATGGCCAACATCCTTCATTAAAAAACTCCTTAAAAAAAAAACCCTGGGCATTGAAGGAACAAATCTCAAAATAAAAGACTGATATATGACAAACCAACAGCCAACATCTTACTTCACTGAGAAAGTTGAAAACATTCCCCCTCAGAATAGGAACATGACAGGGATGTCCACTCTCACCACTCTTATTCAATATAGTACTGGAAGTCCTAGGAAGAACAATCCAGCAAGAAAAAGAAATAAAAGGTATCCAAACTGGCAAGCAGGAAATCAAACTATCCCTATTCACAGATGACATGACTGTTTACCTATATAATGCTCCAAGAAGTTTCTAGATCTGATAAATAACTTCAGTAAAGTCTCAAGATACAGAATCAACATATAAAAATCAGTAGTATTCCTATACACCAGCAACGCTCAAGCTGAGAGCCAAATCAAGAGCTCAATCTCATTCATACTAGTAAGAAAAACAATAAGATACCTAAGAATACAGCTCAACATCACTAATCATTGGAGAAATACAAATTTAAACCACAATGAGCTATCACCTCACACAGTCAGAATAGCTATTATTAGAAAGTCAAAGAACAAGAAAGTGAAAGAAAGATCTCTAAAAGAAGAACTACAAAGCACAGATGAAAGAAATCATAGACAACATAAACAAATGGAAAAGCATCCCATGTTCATGGATTGAAAGAATCAATATTGCTAAAATGACCATACTGCCCAAACCAATCTACAGAGTCAATGCAATCTCAATAAAAATACCAACTTCATTCTTCACAGAAGTAGAAAAAAATAATTTTTAAGTTTATATGGAATCAAAAAAGAGCCCAAATAATCAAAGTAATTCTAAGCAAAAAGAACAACCACAGAAGCATCACGTTGTTTGACTTCAAATTATACTATAAGGCAACAGTAACTAAAACAGCATGGTACAGATTGACCAATGGAGCAGAACAGAGAACCTAGATATAAAAGCCACATTACTGAAAGCAAGATCTTTGACAAAGCTGACAAAAATAAACAATAGGGAAGGACACCCTATTTAACAAATAATGTTGGGAAAACTGGCTAGCCATATGCAGAAGAATGAAACTGGACCTCCTGTGTCTCAGCATATACAAAAATTAACCCAAGATTTAAATGTAAGACCTGAAGCTTTAAAAAAAAAAAAAAAACAAACCTACGGCACACTCTTCTGGACATGGCCTAGTCAAAGAATTTATGGCAAAGACCCCAAAAGCAATTGAAACAAAAGCTAAAATAGACAAATCAGACTTAAACTAAAAAGCTTTTGCACAGCAAAAGAAATAATCAATAGTGAACAGAAAACCTACTGAATGGGAGAAAATATTTGCAAGTTACACCTCAAAGGAGTAATACTCAGAATCTACAAGAAACTCAAACAAATCAACACACAAAAAAACAAAGAATACCATCAAAAAGTGGGCAAATATATATACATGATGGAATATTATGCAGCCATAAAGAACAACATTATGAACTTCACAGCAACTTGCGTGGACTTAGAGTCTATAATACTGAGTGATCTATCACAGAAACACAAAGAACTGAGTAACACATGTTTTCACTCATAAGCGGACCTTGAACAATTATCATAACACTATAAGAAACGGATTGGCAGTGTGGGAAACTGCCGGGGTGGGGGCACACCTCATCAACAAGGGTACTGGCATAATGACCAATGACCATTTGTATACCTAACCCTGAATTGTACCCCACATCTTCAAAATAAATAAATAAATAAGAAAAAAAAAGACGGGCAAAGGACGAGAACAGACACTTCTCAAAGATACACAAGTGGCCAACAAGTATGAGAAAATGCTCAACATTGCTAATAAGCAGAGAAATGCAAATTAAAACCACAATGAGACATCACCTCACACAGTCAGAAGGGCTATCACTAGAAAGTCAAAGGACAACAGCTGTGGTACAGTTGCCGAGAAGTTCAGCCTCCACAGAAAACAGTATGGGATTTCTCAATAACTAAAAATCGAATTACTATTTGACCCCGCGATCCCACTGCATGGGATATATACCCAAAGGAAAATAAATCAATATATTAAACAGATACCTGTACTCATACGCTCATCGCAGCATTATTGACAATAGCAAAATCATTAAATGAACCTGAGTACCCATCAACAATCGGCTGGATAAAGAAAATGTGGTTATATATGCCATGAAATACACACAGCCATAAAAAAGAGTGAAAGCACGCCCTCTGCGGCAACATGGATGAAGCTGGAGATCACCATCCTAAGTGGACTGACTCCAAAACAGAAAGCCAAACACCGCATGTTCTCACTCTCATGCGGGAGGAAATGGTCATAAAAATGGAAATAAGAAACACTAGGGACACCAACAAGGGGAGGGTCGGGGAGGCGGGGAAGGATTCCGGAATCGCCTATGAGGTGCGAGGCTCACGCCAGGGAATGGGCCACCGGAGACCCAACTCCCACCCCTACACGATATACTCATGCAGCAAACCTGCACGTGTATCCCCCAAATCCAAAATTAAAAGAAAAAACTCAGTCCTAACCTCACTGTCCAGTAAAGGGGGACAGTCACACAGAATGCTACTCAGCTGCTAAATAACTTTAAACGAACATTTATTGACAAAAAGAAAGCTGCTTGCCAGACGTTATATAGAAATAAGGCAACTTTCACAAGTGTATATAACAGAAAAAATAGAATGATAGATTCAATAAGGAGAAGAAGAACTGTTATTGGTGCAGACAACTGACTTTAAAAAGATTTCACTATTGATTAGAAAGATTAGAAAAATATAAAATAGAGGAGTGAGTTTTAATAGCAGAGGGTTTCTCAAAAATTACTACAATATTAATCATTTCAACATAAATGTATATATAGCCTGATATGACACCTGGCACAGGGCAAATGATAGACAAATGATTATATATTAAAGAAATGCTGCTGGCTTAAATACAACTGTATTAAAAATGCCTACCTTTTCCTCCAGTTTCTTCTTCTCGTCACTAAATTGGCTTATTTTCTGTTTGAGAAACTCATTGAGCTGCAAAACCTCTTTCTCAGTTGATGCAAGCTTTTGCTCAAGTTCCTCTTGCTGGGATTGAGACACTGCCTCCTCTGAAAATGGAGTGTGGAGTGAAGTGTTCTCATACTGTGGCTATTGGCAAAGAAAAACAGCAGGTAAGGTGTTAAAAGCTCGCTTGTCTTGGACAAACGGAAAGAAATTTGAAATGAGGGACGGTACAAGAGCACATACAGGCCTTAGCCACAGACAGGCCATGACTTCAGTCCCAGCTCTCCTGCTTCTGATTAATTATGTACCATGACTAAAACAAATTACTTACCATCTCTAAGCCCTGGTTCTCTTATCTATAAAACAGAAATAATAAAGCCTACTTTGAGTGTTTTTTGAAGAACAGAGATAAAGTATGTAAAGTTGCTAGCACATGTCACAAAGTTAATGAAAGGTAGCTACTATTTGGCTTAACAGTATACTTCAAAATATAAATAGTACTTTATTTATTATATAAAAGTCAAAGTCCTAGGAAAATAAATAAAAACTAAAGAAAAGCTTCCTTCACAGGCAGCCATTTCCAGTTAATATTAAATTCAATAAGCATTAACAGAATGTTTTCCTAACTAAAAAGTAAGGTCCATGAAACAAGGGACTTTTTGTACAACTTTAAGGTGCTATTGCTTAGCACAATACCTGACAAAAGTGCTCACAAAGTAATGAATAAATACAGTATTGCTTCTATGAGAAGGCTTTGAAGAAAATTCTTTTAAAGGAGAAGATATTCCTCCTCCCTCTTCCCTGTACAGGGTTAAAACCCAGAAGGAGAGGGCAGGAAATACAAATATTCCATCAAACAAATCAGAATGTGATAAATGCTGTAAGAGACAACAAAGCATAGTAAAGATAAAGAGATTATTTTTCTACTTACTCAACAAATAGTTACCAAGCTCATATGTTAGGTACCGTACTGGGCACTGGGGACTCTACAGTAACTAAAACAAGGTCTCATCAGTTTGCCGCACACAAGGAAGACCCAAAAAAGACAATGAAAACTAAGTGCTAAGGCGGCTGTAGGTGTCGGAGCTATGGGAAAGTGTTAACAGAAGTGAACTTGAACTAGGCCGTAAAGAACTGATACTTTCCCAAAAGGCAGCCATGCAATTCAATAATTACATAAATCGTGTTTACCATGTGCAGGGCATTTCAAAGATGGCAGACTCAGGCACTGCCTTTACAGACTCACATTTTAATCAGAGGCATGAGAGGAGCCCTTGGAGAACTATAATATAAGACACAATATAATAGCCAAAGAGAGGCCTGTTAAGTACAAAGCCTTGGGTTGGGGGAGGAAAATGAAGACACAGAGAGAGAATGAGAAAAAAGGCTTTGCTGGGGAAGTGGCTTTTCAGACATTTTGAAAAAAAGAAAGATTCTGGCAGAATGAAGAAAGTAAGAAAGGCATTTTAGAAAGAACATTTAAATAAAGATAAAAAAATATATGCAGAGAGTATCACATTATGTTCAGCGGTCATGAGAGGGGGAAATAAAAGGGAAGATTTTAAAGCCTGGGTTTCAACCTTATTGTAGAATTCCAAGGTTCGGAGTTCAACTTCAGTTCATAGGAAATGGGAAGACTGGGATGATTTTCCAGGGAAAAAAGTAACATTGTTATGGGCCGAGGAACGCTGGGCTGCTCTCCCCTGATACCAATAAATCAAAGGGGTAGGGAGCTGGTAGAAAGTTTTGTTTCTGAATTCGAATCCGGGAAGCAGAGTGGGCTTTTGGCCTCCTTAAAGTGGCTCTGCCCACCCTTCGAGCTCTACAGTCCGCTTTTGTAAGTTCTTGGTAGTTGGTACCGATAACACTGGCTACGTGACTAGCAGAGCACTGTACAGAACCTAAGTCATAGCCGCATTTGTCCATAATGACCTGTTCGGGTCCACGTTTCCTGGCGCCAGTTACCAGAGGAATCTCACGGCTTTTTGTAAGTAACACCCGGCAGAAGCGTTCATCAAGCCTGCCACAGAGCAAAGGGCATTAGCAGGGCCCAAGACATCATGCCTTATTACATCACACGTGTTGTTATACGCAGAAGCCACACGGATCACAGACTTGTGATTGCATGGATACAAAAGTCACGCAGGCCGGTGACTGCCACGAAAAGGGAGCAGATGGGGGCTTCCGCTGCTAGGCTGATTGTTGCAGCCTGAAGGCGATTTATGTGTTCTCTGGAGTCGCTTGCTGGGAGTGCACAGGAGAAAGGGGAAAGGTGCTTTTTGCCACCTCCCAGGAATGTGGGTCTGCAGGAGCACTGGCATGCTTGCCACGCCCTCCTCTGGGGGTGGGCAACACAGACAGAGAGTAGCGGGCTCCCTGACAACATGATTTGAGAAGACTGTGAACTCGGCTCTGCATTCATGGTATTTTGCCTAATACCTAGACCGTCATTGTGTTTTGGTGAAAGAGACAAGCGGGAAAAGAACAAGGCAGTGCTAGAACAAAAGTGACAAAACTGGAAGCAGCAGACAGGATGAACACTGGGAATAGATATGGATGCATCACTTCAAGAAGCCATTCCAACCGATTTAGCTGAAATAGAACTGAAGATGAAAGAAACTCTGGAAGCAGAGTGAGGCGATTTAGAGAAAATGGCTGTTTAAAGACGTGAACGGACAACGAATACTAAAGAATAGCAAGGTTTGAGACTCTGAACAACATGGAAGACTACATTCGCAGCAGAGGTCAGTGGGCTCTTTGGAATAACAGGCTTAAGCCTACTGGTGTCATAATTCCAGATGAACATGCAAAAGAGGGACAAACAGCCAACAGTCAGAGAAGTAGACCCAAAGCTCAGGAAAATGGCCTGGAACCGTGAAACGTTAACAAGGACTAGTGGTTTCCAGGATGGCACATAAGGAGACTAGAAGTAGCCACTCGGTCCCAACAAAAAATGGAAATTCGAAAATACTGAGCTATCCACAACTCTTCTAAAATCTCTCAGAGAAGTGAGGTCACAGCACAAACTGCTGCCTCCAGAGGTGGGGGGGGAGAGGGAGAGAGGGAGAGAGGGGGAGAGAGAGAGAGAGAGAGAGGGAGGAAAGCAGGAACCTTGACAAGAAACCCACAAGCAGAACACTCAAACCAACTAGTAACAGGGTAGGAAACCCTGAGCCGTAACCGACGATTTGCTGAAAGCGTGGAGGGGACAAATCTGAAAAGCAAGCACGCCACAGGGACCCCATCCCAGGGCGGCCCCCCCACTTCAGAGAGTTTCACCTCCAGGAGAGCAGCGCGATCCTCACAGCGAACATCAGAGGAAAATCCCTTGTTCCTGACGGGGGGAGGAGAAAAGGGACCATTTGTAAACGCCAGAGCATTCTGTCCTTAGAAACACCGGCTCTCAGAAGCAGCCACTGCTGGAGCCCAAACTGTTGTGTGTGCTCTACCAGAGCCTCCCCTAGGGAAGATTAACGCTGGGGGAGGGGGCGTTCCCTATTCCAGCCTTCCACACGCAAGAAGATGCGGAAGTCAAACCTGCTCCAGCCTTCCATGTGGAGGAAGGGAAATTCCAACTCCTGCCACCCCCTCCTGTCATCCTGTCCCACTTAAGGGCGGGGAAAGAAAAAAACGGAGAAAACCGTGAAGTCCACAAGCCATAGGAACAAACTCACCAAAAGACTGAGAACTGAATCATGGGACTAGAGAATGCTTCCTGTCTCCCATACTTTACCATACCTTACACTTAAGGCCTATTTATCACCCTTACTTAGCCTAGGACGTTATATCTACTTCCAATGAAAAATTACAAGTCAAACAAAAAGGCAGAAAACAGAGTCTGAAGAAAGAGACTCAACAACCACCGGACACAGAGAGTCAGACATGGCAAGGATGCTGACATTATCAGACGAGGAATTTTTTAAGACTTTGGTTAATATGATTTTAATATAAAATGCAGACAACATGCAATAACAGACAGATAAGCGCACAGATAGAAAGCCTAACAAAGAATACAAAAATATTTCTAACGACTGAAAACATAAAGATATGAGGAATGCCTCATTAGACAATCTGGCTCAGGAAAGAATCCATGAGCTTAAGGATCTGACAATAGAAACTTCCAAAACTGAAAAACAAAGAGAAAAAGACTTAAAAAAAATATATATATCCAAGAACTGTGGAACAACTATAAAAAGTATTATAAATACATGTAATGGGAATACCAAGAGAAGAAAGAGAGAAAGGAATAGAAGCTATAATTTGAAGCAATAATGACCAAGAACTTCCCAAAATTAAGGTTAGACATCATACCACAGATCCAAGAAGGTCAGAAAACACCAAGCAAGGCGAATGCCAAAAAAACTACACTTAGGCATATTATATTTAAACACCAAAATAATCAAAGATTAAAGAAAAAATCCTGAAAGAAGCCAGAGTGGGGGGCAGGGGGGAATTACAGAGAAACAAAGATAAGAATTACATCCAACTTCTCCTCAGGAACTATGAAAACAAGGAGAGAGTTCATGTGCTACGAGGCTAAAACCACCTATCTAGAACTCTGTGCCCTGTGAAACTATTCTTCAAATGTGAAAGAAGGATTTTGTTGACAGTGGTGGGCCTGCCTTGCAATAAATGTTAAAAAGTTCTTCAGAGAGAAAGGAAATGATAAAGGTCAGAAGCTCAGATCTATATAAAGGAAGGAAGAGAGCTGGAGAAGGAATAAAGAGTAAGTGAAAGTAAAATTAAAAACTCTCTGTTTTTCTTATTCTTAATTGATCTAACAAGTAACACTTGTTAAAAATAGTAATGGTAACAATGTATTTGATTATGTATGCTTGTGCGTGTGTATATGCGTATGTATGTATGTATGTACGTATAATACATGCTTAGGTATGTCTAGCTGTAAGTGAAATGGCTGACAACAATGACAAAAAGGATGGGAAGGAAGATGGAAGATTTAGGAGTGTTTTGTTAGTATATGGTACTTGCACTACCTGTGAAGTGGTACAGAGTTCTTGGATTAGTAAAAAATGTATATGCAAATTCTATTCTAGGTCAACCACTAAAAAAATTTTTTTTAAAGTGTAATTGATGTGATAAAAAGAAAAAAAAGATTCATATTAAATGCTCGATTATGACAAAAG